AAGTTGTCTTCTATAATTTGCTTCAACCAAGACTTCTTCATTTGTTTTTCTAGCTCTCCATGGGATACGTAGCATGCGTCTTATGAACCACAACTCTGTCGCTACACAATTGTTCTTTCTAGCTGTTTGTTGATTGTTCACACCTCGCACCCGTATAATAGGATTGGCTCAATGTAACTCTTCAGTGCTCTTTTTCTCGTTTCCGGTGACAGATTGATGTTTGTTAGTATCTGTTTCATCTTGCGGAAGGTTGCTTTTGCTTGGCAAATGCGGCTTTTAATTTCGGTGTGACATCTACCATCTGATGATATAATGGTAACCAAATATTTAAAATGTTGTACATGCTTGAGAGTGGTACCATTGACTTTGATATAGGTACTGACCCGAAAAAACCTTTACCCGGGGAAAAGCCTATAACTCTCCACCAAAGTTCACAATTCACACAAACATTGATTGGAAGCAAGCTGAACCATTCGAAAGGAGAAACACATAATAAAAATAACAGTACCTCGGAAGCAGCCATGGCTATTCCGAAGATACAGTTCACTTTTGACAGACACGGAATCTCTTCTGTAAAAGGTTTGGAATTAACACCAAAGACCGCAAGAAAATACCAAGTAAAGTAACAATACATGTACATGTACTTAAGTTGGTGGCAGACTTCAGGCCTCATGATTCTCTTGAAAATAATAACAAGAGATCAAAAACTTGGGTCACCCTGAGAATGCGGCAGTAGCGATGGAGTCTGTGAGCGAAGAGCCCAAATAGTCAGTTCATCGTCATAGTATTGAATTAGATCTAACCATTGTTAGAGAATCTGTTCGGCGCATGTTGAAGTACGATCTGAAGTTTAAACCGTACAAGATCCAGGTACATCAAAGACTGAGCAAAAGGAAAATGTCATAAGGAATTTCGTCAAGCGCCTCAGAGCGCGTATCGCCCTAACGGAGAGCACATGGAGCATTGTGCTCTACCTTCCTTCAAACTTGGAAGTTTTATTTGTACATTTGTCACATTAAATCCCGATGGTGACCAATCTGTGAAATCTTGTGTTTCTATCTCTATTTCATCCGTTTTTATGGATGTCTCCGTGGGTGAAGGTTTTTTTTTAAGGTCACCTGGTATTTCACAGCAGGAAGGAAGAAAAATGGGTTGGGAGAAAGCAAGTGCCATGCCTCTCAAGGAGTGGAAACCTTCTAGGATCGGCAAAGAATTGAGAACTAGCTGCAGATCTCCCAGAGTGGTGGAACTACCCTTTCATGATCAAGAGATCAGGTCTCAAACCAGATATCGCCAAAATAATCCTAATCTAGATGACTGTTCCATTTGAAAATAGGATAGATTCACAGAACCAGTTCAAGTTGGCAACAAATGAATATTATTACCTCTCGAATCAACTCCAAGGTGAGGGTTATAGCTTCAAGGTCATTCCAGTAGAAGCTGGTTTCACGAGGGTTTGTCGCAGCTTCAATCAGCGCCAGGAACAAAATAAAACGCTTTGGAGTCATTCTGCCACAAACGCTAATGGTGGCATTAATTCCTCCATAGTCGCTCTTATTATCCCGTTATCTTTTTTCTCCCCCCCCCCCTCAATTCTCTC